TGATAAATCGGGGAATTTTATCCGACATGTTGCACATCCGATATGCAACACTTAAAAAGTTTCCTTTTTCACCGAAATTTTACTCTCAAGTTGTCAATTATTTTCCCTAAAAAAGAAAATATTTCGCCGTGGAACGTCGGATAATAATCAGTTTATATTGCCAATTATTATCATGAATTACGCACTTTATTGAAACGAAAATCGGGGGTCTTCCGTACAAATCGCACAACATTTTTTATGATCATATCGACACACGACAATGTATTAGGAAACTTTTACCTTACCGAAGGAGTGACCATGAACAAATTTGGGGATATACATATTAATTAATAACAAGCTTGTAACCCAAGACTGTATTTGTACAGTTGTAATATGTGTATCTGTTATTAAGGGGTCCGGTTCACTTTACCGACAGCACAGTTTTGTGAAACTGTCGTTTTGTTGATAATAATTTATTGAAAATAATTCTCATCGATAGCCATTTTCGCTAATGGATATTCCGCTTCTAACGAATGCCCGATTTAACAAAGATGGCCCTTCTAGCAAGGATTTTTTCGGAATGAGTTCAACTATATATAGAAAAGTACCAGCCGAATGAAGTGTTATAATTAAAAATTCTTTACATAACGAACGATATAACGGAGAATTTCGGAATTGATGATAAAAAAAAATGTTTCCAAATTTGTTATAATATACGGAAATAAGTTTGGCAACCGTTTAACAAAATCGTCGTCTGTCAAATGTAAACAGAAATATTGCGAATGCAAGCAGAGGATTTTATTAATATCAATAGAGAAAGCAGAAATAAAGCAGTAAAAAATGCGAAAAGGTCTGACTGTTGACTGCTCAGTTGAACGGAAAACGTACAATTTATATAAAATGTGTTATAAAAATAGTCTGCGTTAATGAAAAAAGAAAACTCAGTAGAACCGTGGGCTTTGTTTAAAGTGGACTTTGGAAAACGGATTCATTTCGCCGACAATTATTTCACTGACAGTGCTGACGGTTTATTTCGCCGACAGTTCATTACACTATGCCAATAGTTATAGTTTATCAACCTCCTTAAGTAAAGTCACGACAACGACAACGACGACAACAACAACAACAACAACAACGACGACGACGACGCAACAGGATAGATAGAACACCGTTACTGAACAATGACTATCGGTAATCATTGTCGGAAAATGTAGTATAAAGTTTGACGCGTCTTTTTAAAAAATTCGCTCGAGTTCGTTTTAATAGTAGTGAACGATATTATGAATGATTAGACTGAATTGATTTATTATAAATGTCATTATAGTTCAACACTTACAACAACACTACGGCATTGCAACACACCCACATCTTGTCACCAGCGTAATCACAACTTGCAAACGCATTAGGCTTGACACTATGAATGTCCCGTCGCATTAACGCAAGTCTTTTTTCAAAAATATAGTCCACTTTAACGAATAGTCCCGCATTAAAAGTCAGGCTATGGAACAGATCACTTATCATGTGGGAACAGAAAAACACTTTGTTAAACCACCCGTGTAATTCGATGACGTTAGACAGCCTTATCGTCATATTGTTCCAACTTGGCCATGTCGAGATTAACGAAATCCCAATAAAAAAACCGACCATCATCTACTCAAAAACGTAACCCGGATTATCCATTTTCATCAAACCCAATATGGGGCCAAACAAAATGGTCACAACAAGAACGCATTATAAATATACAGTATGGAAAACGTTTAATTCGCAGATATAGAGAGAGGAAGGCCTTGCCAACCACTCTGTATATATACATGTTAATATTATATGAAACGCGATCCTCGTGCTCACGCGCTCAGCATGTATGCATACATAACAATAAACAAATAATAGTTACTTCACATAAAATAAGTTTAAACAAACACATCTTCCTAATAAGGTCCATCCGTGATTATAACTGCCTGTACGACGGAACCGATCTACACCAACCCTAATGAATTTCTATAAAAGGCAAGCTTCCACTCTTACAAGTTCCACAGAAATTTTTGTAGCAAACCCGCTCTTAACAATTACATCCATCGTATCTGTTAACATCGCTGTCAATCTTGATCGGATCTGGAAAGTCGCTGTAACTACAAGTTGTAAGATAATAAGCGATATTTATAAAACGTTATGTTAGTGTCATGTTGATAATACAGCAGATTTCCAAGACAAAATATAACAAACTCAACATACAGTTCTAGATCAGTCTCTTGTTGCAATGCATTCTTGGCGATAGTTTGGAATGCTTGTTCAACATTGATAGCCTCCTTTGCACTTGTTTCAAAATACGGAACATTTCCTTTCGATTGACACCAACTCATAGCACGCTTTTGAGTAACCTAAAAATGCGGTACGGTTATTGGTTAATACTATCGGCAAGTACATTTTTTGAATGCATTATGTATTGGTATCAAAGCATGCGTTGAGAATAAAAGCTCTTTATTATAAACCACCAAACGCCTGACTATCAATATCCTTAATTGTGTCACGCTACTTTAGTTTCATCAAATTTGTCCGCTTTGTGCAAATGAAATTGTCCAAACTTTTTGTAAATGAGGACAACTCCAAAATTGCGGTTGCACAATTACATCTGTAACAATATTAATGCTGTGCGTCAATTGTGACGTTTTGGTTTTCGCAACAATAACAATGTTTGGATCATTTAAGTTAATGCGAACGAAACTCGCGCAATGCAGAAAACGGGAGTCTGCATTTGTTTGCTACTTCCGTGTCTGAAACCGGCATTTACCGTTACGGGAGTTTGGTATTTATGGTAAATTATTGTTATTATAACGGTTCAACAAACGACGAAAAACGCAATCTTATTAACATACAGTTTCCAATATTTGGCAAAAAGACTTGGGTATAGGCTTAACAACAATCTTTAAATAGCAAAGAGGTGGTTTCCTTTACGACGCATTGATAATTGATTACCGCCAAGGAATTTTGTATTATCGAAGCATATGTTTAAACATATGAAATATTTTTACATACAAATCGCTTAGGTTAAATCTTTTATGGTTTATACCCAACAGCGTTCTACAAATTTCTCGTTTGCTGTTGTAATAACAACCAAGTTTTTCTACGTGTTATGAAAGAAGACTGTATCACGTTTGTCTTTCTCAGATTTGAATTTGTAGAAATTGATGTTAATATAAAGATACGAAACAAGTATTTGGTCCATTAATATCGCCCGCGGCCGAACCGCATCTTTGTTTTTGTTTGTTCGTTGAATCATGACAAGAGAATTAAAACGCGAAAAATCGTTATTTTTATTGGTTTTTGAATTTAGCACTAATACCTTGCATGATAAATCGGGGAATTTTATCCGACATGTTGCACATCCGATATGCAACACTTAAAAAGTTTCCTTTTTCACCGAAA